GTCCTCGCCGCCCTCGCCGCCCTCGCCGCCCTCGCCGCCCTCGCCGTCCTCGCCGTCCTCGCCGCCCTCGCCGTCCTCGCCGTCCTCGCCGCCCTCGCCGCCCTCGCCGCCCTCGCCGCGTGCGACCACGCGGCGCGGCGCAGTCACAGGGCGATGTGTCATTCGCGCGTCCGTTTTTTCATGTCGAGGTTGGCTTTTTGGCTCCAACACTTTAAAGGGAATCTTTATATCTCCCGCGATATGTGGCTTTACGGTTTTATGGATTCAAAACTGCGATCTACTGTCAGAGAATGTTTTAAAATGTTCTACATTTGGACCGTAAAATTATTAGAAATGTGTCACAGCGCATTATTATGATTTTATCATCATTTGAATTGAGTTACTGTCGGACGTGCTGCATCCAAAATGATATAATTTTAAGTTCTTTGCTGCAAAATATAACATTTTTAAGCCATCAAAAATGTATTTTTTATACATTTTACTAATATTTCGCTGACGGGGAAACTATTGGAATCCATAATATTTATTTTTATTTTATTCAAACTGATGCTAAGGCTTCAAATACTGTAACATTACATCAAATACTGTAGATTTCAATCGCTCTGCCGAGTCTGATATACGAATGTTCGCCCTTGTAGATTAGAATTTTGTAACTCTAGCATGCCTTTTTATTTTACAAAACTCCTGTTTTACTGTTTTCAATTGATATGATAAAATTTCGAAAATTTGTTTCCAAACTCATTCATGTTAAACTATTTGCGAAACAGGAACTTTGATGCTCGAATTTAGCTTTTTATAGGATTTGCAGTTGAGAATATATTCTCTTTTCTCTTTAGATTGATAGAGGAAGAGTAATTAAGCGATATTTGCAATGAGCACTTGGTGGATGTTCACCAAAAACTAGTTGGACAGTTTTGTTAATATTTACCAACTTCGGGAATGTTCACTCAGAAGTTGTAGGCTTCAGCAGTCGGAATATTGCAAGTGCGAGCAGCCCTGAGGAAGACAACGTCAAGACGGTGAAAACGTTGGCATCGCAACCTTCGACGTGGCGTCACCCGGACATCCAAGAGCATGTATGTTTAATAAGTTTACACATGTGTGTCAAGAGATGTAAACTCCACTCGCATCCGTTATTGTTCGCCGACATTTCTCGTCAAGTCTATTCAACTTGTAAAATGTCATCGCCTATTCACCACCTATAGCTAATTAAAACATTCCTGTCAAAATCGCAGTGCTTAAATTCGGTCGCCTTGTGCTACATTCCAAGCGTTTCTTCCGTAATGAAGGATCGGCAGAATCCACAACAATTCAAATGAGCGTGTAAAATCTCTTGATCTTCATGTGACCGATGCATTGAATTTAGTGCAAAGTGCAGTGTTTGTTTAGTGAACAAAGTGCAAAGTTACTACAAAAATTACGGCTTCATAAATTTGATCCGTGTTCAATAGAACTAATAATAGTTCTATTGATTGTGTTCTCATGAAACTGATAGTGCTAGTTCCAACACTATGGAAAAACATGGGTAATTTATTGTGTGTTGTATTCGGCTTCCGTCTATGACCTTCAGGCACGATTTTGCGTCACAATATTAGCGGGAATGTTTAAATTCAGTCAGGTATCAAAATTTGAACTTTGTTACAAGGAATTGAAATATATGTGAAGCATTAAAAAATATTACATCTCATATTTCAATTACACCTTCAATGTGTTATTTTTGTTGAAAATAAATACTTTACGTCACTTTTAAAATGTTTCTAAATACTTCTTCCTTTCCATGCAACATGGCAGCTGGCGTCTTGCCTGGCTTTTCAAACGAAATGAACATGCTGTAATCACGCAGTTCGTGGCGTAAGATGGTTCTGCCCAGAACGAGCAAAAATCGGCGGGCCGGACTAGCCCCTCCGATGTTTTTCGTCCCAAAGGCATGAATGTGACATCTCCAACAAAATATCGATGTTCAAAAAAATCTATGGTAATAAAACTTTTACTATCAAAAAATAAAACTATCGATGGTTTTAAACATCGACATTTTTAAAACTACATCGGAATTTATTACCGGGATATGTGGCCCAGACCATCAACTGATTTCACTGCAGTGCCTCTAGCCAGGAAGAGGTCCGAGGTTCGAGTTCCGACGGTGGTGGCAGGATTTTTGACACTAGCTACGTAGCTAGGTCGAATTTAGTTGCTGTCTGGAGAAGAATTCCAGCGCCCAGCTGCTCTGATCGATAGTTTTTAGTGATTTATCCGATTAATATCAGGCTAAGTACACTGACAACCGACTGCCATGTACCGCTTGCGATCTTTCCTTCCTATTCCTTGTCCTATCGTCACCCCTTACTTGCACACACCTACTTGCACTATACAGTATACATGCCGGAAGATCGGTCGGGAGCTTAGAGCTTGTCCTGTCTGGTGCGGTGCCCCGCTGGTGTAGGTATCTGCTTGGGGAAAACCGTTTAGCCCACAGTAGGTCGGTGCCGGATCTCATCATCCAGCGGGGGAAGATATCCGCCACCTCCAGCGATAAAAACAACCACTACACTGACAGAGTAATGACCTGTGCAGTTGACGCGCCCGGAATCACTTACCAATGACACCCAAGAGGGAGGAGGGGCTGCTCCGACCTTCTGACCCACAAACCGCTCTCTGGGGCGGAAGTGAATGGGCCATCTGCGGCGGTGGCCAAGGAGACTGGCTACCCCTACGCGATAATCCCTCCGCTGCCCCAGGCGCCGCGCCGAGTCCTTCACCTTGCCGGAACTGCTCCGCCGCTCTCCCAATTCCTGGTAATCTCTCTGGAGGAGACTTCTATCGGCCGGCTGCTCCGATCGGTAGTTTTCCGTGGTTTCCACGATTAACACCAGGCGAATGACGGAGCAGTTCCGTACTAAACGCACCACGCTCCGCGCGCGATCGTCTCTTTCTCTTCGTTGTCATATCCTAACCCCTTACTTACAACCACCCATACTCATATTTAGATGCATCATACTTACGGGATTAATGACCTTAAAAGGTCACGCGTCCGGAATCACAAATCAATCAAGCAACCAATGTCAATTGCTGGTCGTCTGCCCGCTTTCCGCCGCCAGTCCTTTTGCAAACAGTTTCTTCTTTTCTGCATTGGTCATTTCAGAAAATTACAGAGCAAATAAAAAGGCTCATTTTCATTTTCATTTTTGATTCCTGTTGTAACATACTGCAATTCATGGAGATATGTGGCAGTACGGGAAGGTATTGTACCTTTGACCATTTTTCATACTTTAATTTTTTTCCCTGCAGATTTATATTTATTAACATTTTTAAGGTCTTAAAATAAGAACTTATGAAGTCTATAAAGTATGTTTTTCTCTTGGTTTGAAATAAATTTTAAACACGGTTGAAATTAATTTTTGAAAGAATAAATTTTGTCATTGATAAAACACTGTTGTACCTCTGACCAGGGGTAGATGTACCTTTGGCCACTTCACACAAATTGTAATAATCAGTTAACTGGAAATTAATTAAAGTATTTTTTATCAATGTAATATGCATGTATGATGCCCACCAGCAATAAAGATTACATGAACTGTGAGAAAAGAACTAAATAGAACAAAGCGCATGAAAATAGAAACAGCGCAAATCTGAAGCCAGCTGTAAAATAATTAAATTCTCTATATTATAGTTTAAACACATTATAATGCCATCACATTTAAAAACAAAATTCTTTTGAGTAATACAGAATAAAAAAATCAGCTATTCAACACTCTAGTGAGATAGATCGACACTAAATAAGAAATCATTATGCAGACTGATCCACCTGTCTGCGAAGAATTTGGAATCTTGAACACAATATTGTCTTTATCTATACCATACAATGACCCTGACAAAATAATACTTTTTTTTTAAATTTTTAGCTCAAAAATATTTCCCTCTTATTTCTAACAACCTCTGCATCGTAATATTTAACAGTTTTTGCCGAAAAATTTTGTGAGATTAAAATCACCTTTACTCCTAGGCAGCTTCTACAACTCTCTAAAATAACAAAATAGTAAATATATAACCTGAAGGAAAGTAAACATTGGCTCAGTTGTATCTTTAAATGGTCAAAAATACAACAGTACATATTGGTCAAAGTTACAATATATGCTCACTTTTCACAAAATATGATAAGGATATGAACAGGCAAAAACGAGAGTGTAATTGAAAATATTTTACTGTTCCCTATTAATTTTTAGAAGTTGTATGATCGAAATTTCAATTCTTTTTTCTCATTCCATTGAGAACATGTTTGTCTGAGAACAACACAAGCCCCTGAATCGTAAATTGGATATTCTCCAAAACTGGTTATCATATTATTGACATTACTTAATTGGAAACTTCAAAGGATTTACAAGAAATGGGGTGCATTAGGTTTTGCATTTTTAAGATTCTCCGAGATCCGCTTCACAATTTTCACTTTTGAAGGTTCTAAAATTACAAGTTTGTTTCGAATATTTCGCGAACTTGTATAATTATAATTATATTGATATTGTTTATAATACAATCAATTCGACTACATAAAATTATAAATAATGTAAAATAAAGGTTTTCCAAAATATCAGTACTTTTTTCCTCACATTAAAATCAAAACGAAGCAATTTCCTAAAACTGGTTTATTTTCGGTCAAGTTTCTAACCCATTTTGATTCGTTCGCCATTCTATCGTATCAGAAGCAAGGGCTGTTGTCTCAAGCCACAAATTTGCTGTATACAACGCGACCTTTTCGATCGCTTATCTTGTTGGCATTGTGGCGTCAGGTCTGCGCTCCTGTTGCATGGTCACTTGTTCTGAGAAAGGAGCGTTACTGACTTCCGCGTGGAAGGCAGATCAATAAATCTCTCGTGATAAACAGCCTTGACCATGGAACACCTCATAAAAACAAACGGGTTTCTCACAAATGTTCTTCGTTTTATTTATTTTACAGATGTGTCAGCTTGCGTGGCAACTTCGTAACGTGGTGTATTTTCTAACAGATTGCACTGTTTATGATTAAGTAAATTTACAACCGCAAACACTTTGTATGTATCTTCCATCTTTCAAAGTTTACATTTTAATGCCACACATTTGAAACTTAAGTGGTACAGTCAAAATACTAAAAAAACGTATTTTAAAAATCCGTTCCAAAATACGTCTTTTCAATTTCCGTGGAAGCTTAATTATTGAGAATTAATGGGGTGTACACAACGCAGTTTTGAGCCTTTGATAAACCTTGTAATAAAATTTTTTGCACTTCTTAAAATACAAGAAATGTTTTTCAACGTAAATGTTTTTATTTCCCCTTATGCCGGCCACTCCACCTCGAGACCCAAGCTGGTCTTTGCTTCTCAGAATCTTCGCCGTTAGTCAGATTTTCTTGACTACATGAGCTGCGCCCAACGAGTTTGCGTGATCAGGCCCTCGCTCGATCGAAGGATGGAAATGGGAACTTGAGGGGGAAGGAAGATTTACGCGCAGGTCGTGACCCTATGATTAGGATTCTGCCCCGGCATCGGCCTGAAATTGATCGGAAATGGACCTATTAGATCACCCGATCTCGAGAATTCTCATTCGGGCTGCGACAGGCCCAGGACTAACTTCTTGTATTTAGATGTTTTTCTTTTCCCTATCGAAAAACCTGCCACCAACGGACTCGAACTTAGGACTGTAAACTTTAATGTATGTTAAAAATATTTTTTGTTGTTTTATTCTTTTTAGTACATACGTAGAATGCAGTACCTTAATTTCGTGCTATTTATTATATGAAATTTACAATATGTAAATTGAAATTACAGATACTTTTGTATCACTCTTAATACACGATTTTGTTTTTTACTGTGAAAACACATTATTTTGTTTCCTTGGCCATAGTCTTCCCCCTGTATCTGCACAAAATTTCTAGCCTTTCTCTCTGCGTAGAGGGTTTGCATTTAACTTAAATGTATTAAAATGTTTATCTCCCTAAATGTCTCTCTAGTATTGA